GAGATGAAGTGAGGACTGAGGACGTTCATTAAGGTTCCCTGGTCAGGATGATTAATCTGATGATTGATCTCAGCTGTGAATCTGCTCGTATTTGAACGGCACCTCCGTGGAGGTAGACCATATATTTATCCACCTCCACCGACGGCCGGGGTTTGTTCCTTCCATCTCATTTTTTTTTGGTGGATCCTGTTCCTCTTTCAAGTCCCTGCCCACAGGGTTACAGATCCATCAGACTGAGATCTAAGGCACGGTGAAGACAGTCGGCCTTTAAAGCTGAGAACAAAATCATTACCTTTGGTAAGAAAAAAAAATGTGTATCCCTTTCAAATTAGTTCCCATATGAGTTTAAACGGATCAAGGACTTTTTTTAACAAAGCGTTTTGTTTGAAGGTTCAAAAATTCTTACAGTTACTATTTAATACATTTCATTTTGTCCGAGGTTTTTTCACTGTGGTTCCGTTTCAAAGGTTCTGGCCCAAACCAGTTAAAAAATAAAATAAAATGACAACCTCATCCAATCAGAATCAGAATCAGAATCAGAAAAATCTCCATTGTCTTTGCTCTTTATACAAAGAAAGATGTTTTTGTGTTCTCTAAAAAAAAAAACGATGTCATCATCACCACCCACATGTTCTCAGAGAAAACACAAAACCAGACTGAAATATAATATATATGTAAGAATGAAAATACAACACATGTATGTATGCATATATATTTACATATATTTGTATATATTTACATATATATGTGGATGTATATTTATATAAATAGTTGCTTATATTTATATATATTCACATATATGTGTATATATATATATATGTATTCACATATATGTGGATGTATATTTTTATATATATAGTTACATATATTTATATATATATTTACATATATGTGTATATATATTTATATGTATTCACATATATTTGGATGTATATTTATATATATAATTACATATATTTACATATATGTATGTATGTATGTAGTATGTGTGTATATATATATATTTATTTAGGCCTGACAGTGTTGACATATATATTTTTGTAGTTTGATGTCATTCTTATCCCAGTTTCTAAAGTACAATCACGTGAACTTCCTTAAAAAAAAAAGGTGGTAAAATCTCTCTGCTCTGTTAAAAAAACACCTTTAAATCTTCAAGGGCTTTGTCTTCCACATGTGAAACATCTCGTACAAGGTTTCCCACCGTTCTGTTGTCCTGAACTGAACTGGACTGGACTGGACTGAACTGGACTGGACTGAACTGGACTGGACTGAACTGGACTGGACTGAACTGGACTGGACTGAACTGGACTGGACTGAACTGGACTGGACTGAACTGGACTGGACTGAACTGGACTGGACTGGACTGGACCAAACTGAACTGAACCGGACTGAACTGGACCGGACCAGACTGAACTGTAACGCCTACGAGATGTAACTGAAACAATGACCAAACCAGATTCACCAGGGACGGCCGATCTGGAGGGACGGCCGATCTGGGCAGTTCTTTGTCAGTTCTTTGTCAGTCGTTTGTCAGTTCTTTGTCAGTTGTTTGTCAGTCGTTTGTCAGTTCTTTGTCAGTCGTTTGTCAGTCTCAGTTCTTTGTCAGTTGTTTGTCAGTTCTTTGTCAGTTGTTTGTCAGTTCTTTGTCAGTTGTTTGTCAGTTGTTTGTCAGTTCTTTGTCAGTTGTTTGTCAGTGACTTATCTATAACCACCACAGAAGCTTCTGGAAGATCCTGGAGTCGAACGTTCCCACTGATCACATCAAACATTCATAGATATTTAGAGCACGGCTCGAGCCACGCATGATATCCGAGTCGGTACAACCGAGTTATTACATAGGTGGTGGAGCTCCTCAATGGGGTTGCCATGGAAACATGGTGGGTAAAAAAAAAAACATAAGAGTTGGACTGCAGCGAAGTGGGCAGCGAGACACGTATGCTAATGTAGAGCGCTATCATGTCAAGGNGGGGGGTGAGGGGGGAGAGGGTGAGACAAACTGATCTTCACTTCACTCGTCTTCACCATTCATCAGAAAAGCAAACAAGCTGAGCAGCAGATCTGAAGGATGATGACGACGAGGTTTGCTGGTAAATCCACGCAGCCTGGTCTGGACCTGGGATTGGAACCATCAGCCTGTGTCCCCTCACTGGTCATGAACAGTGAGGACAAGCAGCTGGACGTTCATGTCACACAGATTTTCCTTCCAAAAATATCTCCAAAAAAAAAACGCCAAAAAAACCAAGAAAACAACAAAGTGTGATTTCAACAAATGACACATTTGGTGTGAGTCGTTATTCTCCATGAGTGTGTGTGTGTGTGTGTGTTTGACACCTGTGTGTGTGTGTGGGGGGGGGGGGGGGGGGAGGTTAGAAACAAAGGAAATAAAAAAGAGAACATTTCCACCACACCCTCCTGTTCTGCTCCACAAAAGGAAACAAAGAGAAAACGAGGGGCAGAAACGTGCGCTCCG